ACTGACGCTTCTAATTATGCAGTAGGTGCTGTATTAAGTCAGGGACCCATTGGTAAAGATCTTCCCATCGCTTACGCTTCTCGAACGTTGAAAGACACAGAAGTTAATTATTCTACAACCGAGAAAGAGCTATTAGCCATAATATTCGGTGTTGAACATTTTCGTCCTTATCTGTATGGTCAGCAATTCACCCTCATCACTGACCATCGTCCTCTCGTTTGGTTGCACAATGCAAAAGACCCGATGTCTAAATTAATGCGTTGGCGTATTCGTCTGAATGAGTTTGATTATACCATCGCGTATAAGCCAGGAAAGATAAATTCTAACGCTGATGCTCTCTCCCGTAATCCCATTGACCTTCACAACCAGCCTACCACTGAAATACACACATGCATGACTGAAAAAAATTCTGAAAAAACCCTACATCCCAGAGATCTTGAAGAAATACTCGACTGCGCAGACGAGGCATTGCTTCCCGATTTCGATGAGGATTGGGATGAACAAGAAGATAAAGACTTTTTTGATAACGAAGAATTAATAGGTGCTGTGTTCCTGGCGCGCGGGATCATAGTACCTCCTGAGGTCGTAAATATAACTTTTGATAATGACTCAATGACACTTGATAAAATTCAACAACCTAGTACCGATACGAGACTTGTCTCATCGGACTCTACCTTAGCTGAAAATGAATCTTGTTCACCAACAGAAGAGGATAACCCTCCCTGGTCTGATAGTTCGTTGACTATCGGTGTTGTCTACGGACCACCGCCTCGAACCCCAGTCAGAGCAGTGAAACGTGGGATGTCTACTGAGCACATCGACCTGATACCTGATCAGTATCCCAGGAAGAGGACTGCGGGCCCAGGCGAGTGTCCCATACCCCATCAACGAGGGAATAACCAACAGGACACCGATAACAGATTCATAGGGCCGATCTCAGATTGTAATAACATAGAATCCAGTATCATTCAAAAGAATGCAAATATTTATGAAACAATTACTCCAAAACCATTTCCAACTATTTTTCATACTAAAGATCATCTATACACACAGAAAGACCACCTCATCCACTTCATTCCTCTTGACCTTAATATCACCTCAGAGATAGGACTCGAATTGTTGGATAGGAATTTATTCTCCATCGATAAATTGCAGGATGTATCAATAACTTTAGGTCAAGCGATGACTTATCGAACTGAGAGAAATCACTTTATCTTTCATCTAGTCATTCGTGAAACTTCCACCTCAGAGACAAACCTAATTATCCTTGAAAGAGCTTTCAAATCGTTGAAACAATTGATGGACTCCCAAAATGTGAAAACTATTAGTATTGCTGCTAATGATATGGAATTAGACTCATTCGAATGGTCGGAAGTAGGGAATCTTCTCAAAAAAAATCTTCAATAGTTCAGATTATATTATTACAGTTTGCACAGGTGAAATAAAATTACCCCGGTTTCTGAAAGAGAGAAAATTATACGAGAATACCACGAATCGACTTCCGGAGGACATCAAGGTGTTCACAAATTATACAACAGTATTCGTGAAAATTTCTGTTGGCCATTGATGCGTCAACAAATTGCTGATTTTATTCGCTCTTGTGACAGTTGTCAACGAAATAAAATTCTTGCTAGAGAAACCAAACAACCGATGCGTATTACAGATACCCCTAAACGAGCCTTCGACAAAATCCAAATTGATATTGTAGGGCCTCTACCCCGGACTGCTAAGAATAATCGTTATCTTCTAACAATCCAAGATAATCTCACTAAATATTCAGATGCTATTCCTCTCTCCTCCATTGACTCTATCAGCGTTGCTCTTGCTCTTGCCGAACAATTCATCAGTCGCTTTGGTTGTCTACGCGTGATTCACACTGATCAAGGCAGCAACTTCGTCAGCCAGATCATGAAAAACTTTTGCAAAATATTTAAGATTCAGAAAATCAATTCCATTGCATTCCACCCAGAATCCCTTGGTTCTCTGGAACGTGCTCATCGAGTGTTTGTAGAATATCTCAAACATTACTGTAATAAAACAGATTGGGATGATTGGATTCGCTTCGGTATGTTCTCCTATAATACTTCCGTTCATGAAGCTACAGGATTCACTCCTCATGAACTCGTATTCGGTGTCAAGGCTATCATGCCCTCTGAATTCGCAAAAGAACAGATTCCTCGAACTTACGTGCAATATCTTGACGACTTATTCATCAAAATTACTACCACTTAGGCTACTGCGGCAAGGAATTTAGAAATGGCTAAAGAAAGGAGTAAGAAATATTACGACAAAAATGTTAATGCACATGAATTTCACGAAGGAGATTATGTTTACTTAAAAAAGGAACCAAAGACTTCGAAATTTGATTATAGCTGGACAGAACCTTATGAAATAATTAAAATGCACGGGAAAATTAACGCAGAAATAGCTCTAGACAAAATTAAGCGGAAAATAGTTCATACTAATAAACTAAAATTAGCATTTATAAGACCAGATGATATGGCTGATGATTGAATTAGGAATTATCAATTAAGAAATAACTATTAATAAGAAAAAAAAAATTCTAAGAGAATTAGAATTTAGAGAGAAAAAATTTCCGCTTCACCCAGCCGGGAATCGAACCCGGGTCTCCCAGATACGCGCCGGGCACTCTTACCGACTAAGCTACCGGGAACCACAGAAATTCACTACAGAAATTCTTCATTGTATATATAGTTTTATTGTACAGTTCCAGATTTAAATAACAGGATTAGAAATGATTATCCATAGATATTTAGTTAGAAAAAGCTGTTTATTAAACATCTTTTTAAGTAAGGGGGAAGGTGTCGCATATGCACCAGCGACGGTTGCAGGGTCCCTAGGTGACCGCCATTTTCCCTAACTTTAGGATTTATATTCAAATTTATTATTTTCAATTTCTAAGTGAATTCATCGAGATGTTTTTTAATAATTTTTAAAATAGAGAAATATTTAGGTTTTCTTTGAACAAAGACTCGGGAAAAACCCAAGAACAGGAAAAGAGCAATAAACTGGGGAATGTCCCAACATCCTCAGACCACCCGGAGGTTAATCCCTTTCAAGTACCTCTTTTTTCTTATATGATGAGTTTTTCGAGTGCAATTTGACCCATCGGAGTCAAAAAAAACCTTTCTTGAGAGAGTTTATTTCTTTCCCAAGAAAACTTTGGAATTTCCCTTGTTTTCCCCAACATGTGTGGGTGAGGCCCTTTGTTTGGGTCACGTAGGCCCGAGAGTTTGGGGCTGGGTTAGAGCGAACGGTTGTGGGGGTGTAAGACCAACCCCATCGACCAAGTCCAAGGACATGATTGGCTCCCCACTCCTTCGAGTGGGATGACTTTTTCGCGCGTTAGACTTAGAATAATTTTAAGACTAGAATTAACAGCAGATCCACCACCTACGTGGACTAGTGAAGATCTAGAGATCTTCTCCTTTGAGTTTGTGTTCAAAGTTTCTATTTGTTATTGTCAACAAAAGTCAAAGTGCAAATATATTCATTATAATTTTATCTTCTACATAAATCCAGTGTTTGTGTACAATTATTTAAATAAAACCCGCACTTGTGCAGCAGAGTGCTTTAGCACTCCACGGGCAACTGACCCGCCATCTATATTACAAAATAACCAGCTCGGGACGTAACAGTCTATCCAGTTAGTATAGAGATCAGTGGTTTTAAGTTTGTGTTAAATTAATGCAGGGGGGTCCAACTTCATTGTTTCGAGTGAAATACGATTTTAATTCTCCCAATCGTCGCTCGTGGCGCTGATGCTGGTGCACGCGCATGTGTCAGAATAGGTGGGAAGAATGGAATTTTCGAAGACAACGGTTAGGTTGACACATGTTTTAATTTGATCTATTATTAATTAAATTTATATAGAAAAAGTAAAAGTGATGATTTGTGACAAACCTTATTTATTAAAAAAATAATACCACAATCTCTCTCGTTCAAATATATCTTTTATCATGCACAGATGAGTAAAGACCAATAGAAAACCTGGTAGCTTCCGATAGGGAATTTCATTCAAGGTTTATTAAAATCATGGAAAACATCTCAATAAATACAATAAATGTCGTAAAATCACAACATTTTAGGGAAAAATTTCACCCAATATACAACAGTTCTGTAATGAATTTGTAAACTAGGATAAGTGCATTTCATGTAAGATTAATTATCGGGGAATATCTCGCAAAGAACGAGAGATAGTACAATTTCCACTTGTAATACCACACGAGCTTCAAAATTATCGGGTATTCCGATAGGTTCATTGCAAACAAACGAAGAAGTCAAGTTGTTCAGGTTGAAAAATCACGAGTGCTTGACGATTTCGTTTGTATGCAGGGAACCTTGCGGAAAATGCCCGATTAATTTAGAAGCTCAGGTGGTATTCGGGGGATTATTTTTCCAATCCAAATGTCGGGCAATATAATTGGACCATGAGACGAAACTCACAATTGAGAAACGAAAATTGTATAATTAACACAACAGCATTCAATATGTGTGTCAGCACTCAATGTGTAGTTTCTCTCATCACAAAAACTGGTAAATTGATTCCAAATTGTCTTCTTCGTTTTATCCGTATTGACGAGAATAATCCCCTTTACCTTTTCATCAATGGTTTTCAGGGAATGAACTCCGAATCTACTCATTTCGAATAAAAATCCTCGGATTTCCACAATTGAATTCAATCTGTCAGGTTGACGAGGAGTTAATTCGACTGCATGATGTTTTGTTTTTTATATAGCAACTACCAGAGAAAATTATCAAAAAATTATCTGTTGAAAACCCTGTAGCTTGTACCACGTGATGTCGAATGGGCCAATTATATTGTCCGATATTTGGGTTGGAAAAATAATCATGGAAATCTTTTTTGTAGGGCGAGATGTGAGCTATAAAAAAGGTTTGTTTGTTGAGGAACTGGAGTTAGGGTGGATGTGGGAGAAAATGTGGAGGGAAATGTTGGAAAAAAATTATGGTGACACGAATTATAAAATTCCCGTTTATTAGTGGGATTGAACCACTTCGTTAATATCGGTTATACAATCTTTGGCACAATTATAAATGTTGATAGTCTTTAAAGTGGAACTAAGTTGAGTCACTGAAATTAATTGGACTGAAATAATTATCGTGGTGATGTACTGAACGAAAGTATTTAAATTGAATACGCGTGCGATCTACTCAATAGCTAGAGTTCAACTACTTTTTGGGAGTTTCGCGATCGCCTGACCGCTCCACCCGAAGGTTCCCGATGGTGCTCGAGGATAGTCGGTTGGACAGACCGTTTAACTGATAGGTGCGTTTCAAACAGTTTCTATAAAGATTTCGCTCTCTATCTTCATTTAGGAGATATTCATCGATAATGAATTCTAAGAGAAAATCACTTCTCTCAGTTTGATAATTCATTACCGATTTATACAATACATTGGATAAAATTTCCCAAAAAATATTGGAACTTTTACTTGAATTGTTATATTTCTTTACCAAAGTAGAGTTTAGAGTGAATTTTAATAAATACTTTTCTCTATATAGATTTCTTCTCGAAATCTCCTCTAAAGTCCTCGAGTCTTTTGTCAGCTGATTCAACTTCTTGCTCCAAATCTCTATGTGTTTACATCAGCTCGGTCAGATGCCCTTGAAATCTTTGACGATCCCCTCGTTTTCCTCGATATTCTCCACAGATCATTTAGAATATCTTCTTTCTCCTTCTCAAAAATCTTCCGCACTTGGAGATCTCTCCCGTTTCTCCACTTTCTCCATAAGATCAAATCTGTAGGGAATTGGTAAATTAGGATGAGTGCATTTCGTTTAAAATCAATTCGATAGCTAAAGGGTAACAAGTCGATTTGTTCCCTATTCGAATTTTACAGCAAAATCTCTGAATCTAAGAGATACCAAAGTTTGTATCAAGAGCTTGTTTGGTGAGGAACTAGATTTAGGGTGAATTGGGAGGTTAGAGGATCGTCGGTGTGAAATAATGGTTGAGACTCTTGAACTAGTATAAACGTTAATTTATTCTCGGGGTCGAACCACACCTTGTCAACTTTACAAAACACCTTGTCACTTGTTGATCGTACTGAGTTAATTTAATTGTCTATCGTTTTGCACTGTGAGTCACTGGTTGAATGGTCAATAAATAACATGATTTTCTTTTACTGAATTTCTATCACCGAGTTAATAGACGCTAATGTACTGTGGTCTAAACTCTGCAGAGTTGAATTTCATTCAAACGTGCTATACGACAGACCGTGATGTACTCATTCGCGTTGATTTACGGTGACTCTACTAGACCTGAGCGTTGACCCGGAAAAGACCGATGATTTTCGTAATTGGCCGAGCTGATCGACCTTGGTCTTGGAGAAGTTGAGTTACGTTTCAAACAGAGCTTTTTTATAGAGTGGAATAAGAGCGACGGAAAATGTAATCACAAAAATTGCGCTATCTCTCTTAGATTCAGAGATATTCTTAGAAAACTTACTTATTAGCTAAATAAACTTTACCACTTCGCTACTGAATTATTGATGAATACCTTCTAAATGAGGAGATAGCTAAATTTTTAGATCAGCCATGTTTGAAACGCAAAGGAAAATCCCGCAAATCAGTGGTCTCGTATTCGGCCACCTTCGAAAATCTTCGTGACACTTCGGGTCAACGGTCATCGGGTCAACGAGACACCCGGAAGAGAAGCCAAGTTCAGTTAGCATTCAGAAATGATAGAGTGAGCCAACGCGTTTTCGCATTCACATTTTCTATTCAGTACATCAACTCAATTACAATTCAGTATTTTATCAGTTACTCAACGAAAGATTATTAGAAAGGACAATCAACAGTGAATTAAATTCAGTGATTAATATTGTGGGAAACTCAACAAACTCTAAAGCCTGTGTATATAGTGTACATATCTTAACAACGTGGTTCGATCCCACGAAATACAGTGGTTTTTATAACGGTGACTTTTTATTTTCACCCCTTTTGCTTCCATAAAAATTCCCAATCCACCCTACCCTAATTCCTCATCAAACAAACCATTTTTGTAGCCCACATCTCACTCTACAAAACCAGTTTCTATGAAATTTTTTTTATCTCTCTTCATTTACGAGATATCCAGAACATTCGTTATCTGTTTCCCAAAGGATCATCATCATCATCTCACCAGAATGATCCTCCTTGTGCTCCAGCTTCATCGTCAGCTCAACGTTCTCGTTTGTCAGGAATATGACAGTCTTTCGTAGGTTCTCGACGTCAGCTTTGAATGTGGATATGTCGTTTCTGATGTCTCCGCTCACCAGCACTCTCTGCTGGAACTTCATCATCAGTCGTCAGTTCCCCTCGTCTAGGGCCGCCTAGGGCTTCGATTACTGATACCAATTGCTCTGGGGTTTTGGAAGTAAGGCCCTGGAGCTGGGACTGCTCCGGGGAGCAGAAAAAAAATTCAAATTAAATAAGAATTTAGAGAAAAAAAATCCCGATAGCCCCAGCCGGGAGTCGAACCCGGGTCCTCCAGTATCGCGCCGGGAAATCTATCAACTAAGCTACCGGGAGCAGATTCTGCTGAAGGAGATTCTGGTCTGGGTTGATTTGTAGTGGAGATCATCATCATCTCGTTGGTGACTCTTGAGTCTGTGGGGGCGAACGACTTCTTCAAAACGAGAGTTGAATAAGTTGGTGTTGGAGATGGTGCTGCTCACTAGGAATGTCGTCTCAGTAGTTGTGACGTTTGCTTCGGGTGTCACCTTTGTTCCCTCCTGTTCCGTTTGCATTGTCGAGTTCATCTCGAGGAATAAGATACTAGTCTTCAGGGCTGGAGAGGACTCCAGAGAATTTTCTGTTTAATGTATACCTGAAAGTGTTTAATTTCATTTGTCAGTGTCTCAGTGACTTCACGTCCTTGTTCTTTTTTGTTCAAATCGTCGACAATCTCCACGCATGAAAAAATTTTGTATAAAAACCTAGCGAATCCGCTAGGAAATTCTATTGAACTTTTATTGAAAATTCTGTTAGTTTTTGCCCGATACTATTGACAATATTTTATAGAAAAAAATCAATATAATTTAGTCTTTCTATATAACTTTTACTATTGAAACATTTTCTATAGGATTTTTTGATATAAATTTTAAAATTTTTTTATTCACTTTTCTCAAATAAAAAAAGAATAGAAATGGAATAAAAAAGAAACTTGGCAAACATATGTCGAGAAATTCCTTGCTAGGGAACAATTTTTACGGATGCCATGTCAAAGTCCTCAGCAAGACCGGTAAATATCCGGAAATTTACCGATAAATTGTTAGCTGGAATATAGAAAATGTCTTAATAGAAAAAGTTATATAGAAAAACTAAATTATATTGATTTTTTTCTATAAAATATTGTCAATAGTATCGGGCAAAGGCTAACAGAATTTTTAATAAAAGTTCAATAGAATTTCCTAGCGGATGCGCTAGGTTTTTATACAAATTTTTTTCATGCGTGGAGATTGTCGACGATTTAAATAAAAAAGAACAAGGACTAGACAACGCTGGAGAAGTCTGGAGAACTCCGTGGAGTCACTGAGACACTGACAAATGAAATTAAACACTTTCAGGTATTCATTAAACAGAAAATCCTCTGGAGTCCTCTCCAGCCCTGAAGACTAGTATTTTATTCCTGGAGATGAACTCGACATTGCAAACGGAACAGGAGGGAACAAAGGTGAAACCCGAAACAAACGTCACAACTACTGAGACGACATTCCTGGTGGACAGCACCATCTCCAACACAAACTTATTCAACTCTCGTTTTAAAGAAGTCATTCGCCCCCACAGACTCAAGAGTCACCAACGAGATGATGATGATCTCCACTTCAAATCGACCCAGACCAGAATCTCCTTCAGCAGAATCTGCTCCCGGTTGCTTAGTTGGTAGAGTTCCCGGCGCGATACTGGAGGACCCGGGTTCGATTCCCGCCTGGGGCTATCGGGATTTTTTTCTCTCTAAATTCTTATTTAATTTGAATTTTTTTTCTGCTCCCTGGAGCAGTCCCAGCTCCAGCGCCTTACTTCCAAAACCCCAGAGCAATTGGTATCAGTAATCGAAACCCTAGGCGGCCCTAGACAAGGAGAACTAACTACTAATGAAGAAGTTCTTGCAGAGAGTGCTGGAGAGCGAAGACATCAGAAACGACAAATCCACATTTAAAGCTGACGTCGAGAACATACGAAAGACTGTCATAATCCTGACATACGAGAACGTTGAGCTGACAATGAAGCTGGAGCACGAGGAGGATCATTCTGGTGAGATGATGATGATGATCCTTTGGGAAACAGATAATGAATGTTCTGGATATCTCGTAAATGAAGAGAGATAGAGAAAATTTCATAGAAACTGGTTTTGTAGAGTGAGATGTGGGCTTCAAAAAAGGTTTGTTTGAGATTGATGCTAAAAATTTAGGGGCATTGGGGAAAAGTGATTTGGAAAAGGTGTGAAAATTAAGAACAGGCGATTTACTAAAAACCCACTGGTGATGTACTTTACTTGTGGTGTAAACCACGCGTCTAGAAATTTTATAAGGGTGCACTGTTCCCTGAATTGTCTCAATTTAAATTTGATAATTGTCTCTACACTGCACTTGATAATTCTCTTGATAATTCACTTTATTATAGTCTCAAAATGAATTGATAATTGACTCGAAATTAATAGATAATTGACTCGAATAGAGACGCTACTAGGAGCGTTAACTCAGTATCTCACGGTGATGTACTCGGTGATGTACTCGATATAGCGATTGCGACAATACTCGACTGTACAGAGATGGAGACGATACGATACTGTGGTTAGAGTGACTCTCTCGGTGGCTAGAACGATACTACTGACTTTTTCGGCAATTTTCTTCGTAGCTGACCGTGACCCCGAAGGGTCCCGAGGTCGTTCGAGAATTTTCGTTGAGCCCGGTGCCATCAGATAGAAAACTATTGCTGTGTTTTAAACATGGTTGATCTAAAAATTTAGCTATCTCCTCTCATTTAGAAGGTATTCATCAATAATTCAGTAGCGAAGTGGTAAAGGGTAACCAGTCGATTTAGCTAATAAGTAAGTTTTCCAAGAATATCTCTGAATCTAAGAGAGATAGCGCAATTTTTGTAATTACATTTTCCGTCGCTCTTATTCCTGTTATGTCCGAAGGATTTTTCAGGCGGGAAAATCCTGAGTTTCTGAATTTATTCGTTTAATTCTGATAATTCTGATATTGGAAGTTCCTTGATTAACAATAAAAATAAAGTGCGATAAAATATTTCTTACCGCGTTTTCCCGAGTGTTTATGAGCAATTTATTTATTCTGCACTCTTATCTTGTTTTCTTCTTGGACATTTCGCATTTTATATTCTGAATGGGTCGTTGAAATAATTAAAGCAAAATTTTGGAAAGAATAACACCTTTAATAATTGGTTTTTCTCAATTAATCTAAGTTCACAGTGACAGGGGAACTTCGATGTTGGTTTGATTTGACTGATTTCCCGCAAATCACAAGGTTCAAATTTTCTAACAATATATTACTTAAGATTTACTTGCAGGTTTTCTGCTTGTTGCAAATGTAATCCCAAACAGATGGAAGCGTCGTCTCAGACGCTTATTACAATTTCTCTCTTTACATTATTTTTAGTTTACAATGGTTTCAGTCTTTTTAAATCAATAGTCCGAATTGTTTACAAAATACACACACTTATACCGTAAGGCGTTTGGAGTCGCGAAAGCCTTGTCCGTTCGTACGCGTAATTTTAATGCCGAAAATGCGTATCTCTTCTTTTTAAGATACTAAAGGATGCGAAATCCACACTAATTTTGATGAGGGGTTTTGACAACTTACATTTCCGAATTACAAATTCGATCAATTTCCGCTAGCGATCGTCAGCACTCAGGAGACCACCCTCGAAATCTAGTTCACTAATTTCTGTTGGGAACTATGCCGAAAAAGTGACTTTATCCGATTTGTAACCGAAATATCCGAATTACCGAAGATTGGAAAACGTATTCGTTCTCCGGGTTTAGTCTTGAGTTTAGGCGTTGGCTTTATGGGGTGGGAGTTGGTGATTTGGAGGTTTATGACGAAAATTCGATGTGGAACACCTGTTCACGTGATCGAATTTTCGCTGATACTA